AAGAATAACCCCAAACAAACTGAGGGGGTCCGTCCCAGTTGGCAGCTTCTCCACGACTCCTTCCGTTCCCAGCCCCTTCAGCAACACGCCACCCAATGATCCCTGGCACGCACTCTCAGCCTTGTGCCAGACTTTGTCCCGCGGGGGCGGCGCGCAGAAGCATGCCGGCGGGAACACGTCAGCCACGTCGCCTTTCCAGAGGGCAGGAGGCCCTCGGACATCTGAACAGATTCGCGCATTCCTGTCTACGAGTCTCTCCGGCCCCCGTGGGGCGTCGTCTGCCGTGGTGCCAGCCTGGGACGCCCGCCTCCCCAGGGCTCGGGGCTCAGTCCTCACATCCCGGGGACCCACTGGGGCGAAGGGACGGCCTCAGGCCAGAGGCCTGCTCAGAGGAGCAAGAGCTTGTCCCTCCCGCTCGGGCTCCCAGGGCCCCCAGAGCCCCCAGAGCAGGCTCGCCCTGACCTGGCAGCGAGGGGTGTCTGTGCACAGCCGGGAGGTGGGCTCTCCGGGCGGGGCCGGAGGACGAGGCACTGGAGCTGGCGACGCCTGGCGCTGCTGAACCCCAACTTCCCGACTCTGTGGCTGGGACAGGCCATGTCCCAGGATCTCCCCCAGACAGGAGCAGCATGCCCGTGCCCTGCTGAGACCGTGCGCTCCACACCCAGCCCCCGGCCTCCCCGGAGCACGTGCCGCCCACCTCTACCTGCCCCCAAACCACCGCGTTCTGTCAGCGCTTGGCTCCCAGTAGGCGCTCCCACCATGGCTGCTGAGTGAATGAACGAGACACAGGCTACCAGGGTAAGGAAAGGCGAGATGCGTGGGGACAGGGGAGCGGTCCCCGTGGGGCTGTGTGGCCCCCGTGGAGGCCCTGGCCCTCTCTGAGCCTCTTTCCTCTGGAGCTAGCCCTCGGGGGCAGGTTAGATCGTCTGGCCCATTCCCTCGACCTCTGGGGGTCTCTGAATCCAAAAAGTCCTCAGTACCACCCGTGGCTCTTCAAAGACGCGGGAGGAAGACGCCCAATCAATCACTTCACCATCAAAGACAGCACATCCGTGTGCTCAACATGAGACAGCTTGAGAGCCGGCTCCCTCAATCCTGCCAAGTCGTCTGGCCTTGTTGTTCCCGACTAACAAGCCATCTGAGCCCTTCCCTTCAGCGGAACCAGTTCCCGAGGCGCCTGGGAGAGCCCAGCTCCGACGGGCACGGAGAGAGCGCTCGCTCCCTCGCTGAAGCCGAACTCCCGCCGGCAGGGAGCCGCGCTGGACGGGGTGATGGGAACCAGGATGGGAACAGGGAAGGAGGAGGAAGGAGAACCAGAGGACCAGGGGGACGGACATCCTCCTGGGTGAGAGTTTAAGTCAAAAGCTGTAGAACCAGCCCGGCCGGCTGGCTCGGTGGTGGAGCGTCAACCTGCAAAACCAGGAGGTCAGGGTTCGATGGGTTGTGGGCTCGATCCCCAGTGTGGGGTGTGCAGGAGGCAGCCGATCAATGATGCTCTCTCGTCATTGATGTTTCTCTCTCTCCCCCTCTCCCTTCCTCTCTGAAATCAATAAAAATATAATAATTAAAAAAAAAGTAAAGGGAATTACAGTTAAAAAAAAAAAGGTGTAAAACCCAAAGTCTCTGCTAAGGTTTCCCCACTCGCCTGGCGAAGGTCTCAGGGGACAGGGGGCCTGCAGGGGTCAGGGCCCTACCCCCAGCCCTTCCCACAGCCACATCCAGGGCCATCTGGGCTGGGGGCCAGCTGGGTGGCCCTGGGCAGGCTACTCGCTCTGGCCTCAGCTCCCAAGTGGTGGCAGCCCCTCACTGGGTGGTGTGTGGAGTAGCTGGGAAACGTGTGGAGTAGCTGGGAATTGCTGGGAAGCGCTCAGCACCGTGCCTGGCGCGCAGCAGAGCTCAACCGCTGTTATTACTAACAGCAGCGTCATGGTCCCCCCGCTCCCCCCAGCTCTGGCTCCTCTCCTTCCAGCGGGCAGCAGGGCAGAGTGCAGGGTAGGAGAAGGTGCCGGGGAAGGCAGGGCTGCGCTGGCCCGCGTGGCCTCTGGGGCGGGGCAAGTGGGAGCCCCCGCAAGAGGCCTGGCCACTTCCCCAGGCAGGGAGCCCAGGCGATGGGGGCCTCTGCAGGCCTCCTGCCCATGTGTACAACGTTGGCTCCAAGAATTCCTGGATCATCTACCCAAGCTGTGTGCTGGCCGTGCCCACGAGGTGCCAGGGGAGGGATCTGGCAGCTCTGGCGGCGCCAGATGCCAGTTACTTGAGCATGTGTTCGCTGGGATGCGAAGCCCTCCGTGGGTGGGCAGATGCCAGTCCCCACCCCACACTGCACGGCAGCGGCTCAGCCTCCCCTCTTCTCTTGCAGGACCGGAAGTTGTACCCGAGCCCGGCTGGTGTGGCTCAGTGGTTGAGCGTCGACCTGTGAACCAGTAAGTCAGGGTTCGATTCCCGGTCGGGGCACAGGCCCGGGTTGCGGGCTCGATCCCCAGTGTGGGGCGTGCTGGAGGCAGTTGATCAATGATTCTCTCTCATCACTGATGTTTCTATCTCTCTCTCCCTTCCCTTCTCTGAAATCAATTAAAAAAAAAATAAAAACTGCCCCAGCCCAAGGAAGGCAGGGAGCGAAGCCAAGTCCTCTGGCCACGCAGACGCAGGAACGCGCAGACACCGGGCCTCGGAGAGGAGCATGTGCATCTCCCATCGGGCGCTAGCCTGGCGGAGGCCCGGGCAGAGCCACCGGCACGGGCGCCTGCGTGGCTGCTGTCACCGGGGGGCCTGGGAGCCGCCTGCCTCTGCCCACGGCAGCCCTGGCTGCGGGCCACGGCCCGTCTCTCGCCCTGACAATTCCACCAGGACTTCTGTTGTGGGAGGAAATCACTGCACGAGCCGCCTGCTGCCGCTGGAACCGTTCCCGTCGCCACCTCGGCCTGTGTCTGCTTCACCCTCGGCGGCGGCGGCATCCTTTATCTTGGATGTGAACATGCCCTCCTCCTGGGCCGGCGGCCTCCCTGTGTCTCCCACAGGGGAGCAGGGGAGGGAGGGAGGCAGGCGGTGGAGGAGGGTCAGCGGGGAGGTGCCTGGGGCGGCTCTTCTCCAGGTGGGGAGCCCCAGGGCAGGGGGGTTTGCTGAGGGAGCCCCCTCGGGCGCAGCGGACGGTGTCTGCCAGCTCCACTGCACGGGGCGTCCGCTCAGCCTCCCGCCTCCCCTGGGCACGCTCTCCTCGCCCGTGGGATCCTTCACCGCCTGCTCTTTCTAGAAAGCTCGCTGACCGTCACATGGACAGGGCAGCTACGGGCAGGAGGGGTTCGTGAAAGAGAAGGGAGGGGAGGGGAGGGGAGGGCACACAGCCAGCTCTCCGTAAAGGACACGCTCTCTGCGGCCTTCTTTACACTCACGGGACCGGCTGACAGCGTTCCGCTCTGCCCGCCAGCCCTCGCCACCCCTCACCCCTCACACGAGCCCACATTGTGTTGGGTCTATCCAATAAAGAAAAAAAAAATATATATATATATATACACACACACACACATATATATCTGTATATATATGTATACAGTGTGTGTGTATGTATAAATATATATATGTATTGATTTCAGAGAGGAAGAGATAGAAACATCAATGATGAGAGAGAATCATTGATTGGTTGCCTCCTGCACGCCCCACACTGGGGGTGGAGCCCATAACCCGGGCGGCATGAGCCCTGACCGGGAATCGAACCATGAATGACCTCCAGGTTCAGAGATCGATGCTCAACCACTGAGCCACGCTGAGGACAAGTGAGTGACCCCCTCTGCCACCCACTGCCCACAACTCTGAACCCAGACAGGGCCGACCACGCAAGTCCCTGTCACGCCCAGCTCCGCCGGGAAGCGAGAAACCCCAGGGGCCGCGTGAAGCCGCTTGCCAGTTCCCTACCACGACCGAAGGAACACGCAGTCTCCTCGCAGACACGGGGCTGCCCGCGCCTCTGCCGGCCGTCGCCTCACATCTGATTGAATAAGCCGCGTGCGAAATACAGGAGGAATTCAGTTCTCTCTTGACCGAGCCGGCTGCTCAAGTCTGTCACTGATCCAATCCCGTTCCGAGGAGACAAACTTCTCTCTCTGTCTCCGCTGCAGAGCGGGGCGGCCTGGCGGTACCTTCCGGGGCTCGGACCCACCTGCCGGGCGGGCCCTTTCTTCCTGTCCGGACCGACAGTCACCGCTCCTCCCGCTCATCTCTCCACCAATGGCCGGTGGTCGGTGGCGGCCCCCTGGGCTGTGAAAGGGCAGGAGAGGGAGCCGCCCGGCAGGGCTGGGCCTCCTCACTCACCCACACGGGCACATCCACTGAATCTAAGCCCTTTCACCTTCGGGGGACACGTCCGTCTCCTGAAAAAGGAGGAGGCTGGGCCCTGGCCGGTGCGGCTCAGAGGACGGAGCGTTGGGCCTGCGGGTGGAAGGGTCCCGGGTGCGATTCCGATCGAGGGCACGTACCTGGGTTGCAGGTTCCCCCGGCCCCAGTCAGGAGGCGACCAATCAATGTGTCTCTCTCACATCGATGTTTCTCTCTGTCTCTCCCTTCCACTCTCTCTAAAAATCAGTGGAAAAATATCCTTGTGTGAGGATTAACCAAAAAAAGAAGAAGAAGAAGAAGGAGGAGGAGAAGAAGGAGGAGGAGGAGGAGGAGGATGAGGATGA